AGCGGATAGCACAAACGAAGTGAATTACTGACGGTATTTTTACCGATATCTAAATGATTATAACCATTGAGTTTTGAATTCGATAGACCGATGTAGAATTTTAAGTTAGTTTTAAGTATTGGGAAAACAATTTGTTATGGTTTAGATATATATTAACTAATCAAAATTATACTTAACCGGTACAAAGATTGTGAAGAAATGAAAAAACAAATGTAATAAATACAATGCACATTAAAAAAATAAATAAATATTTACAATAAAAAATATTGACCCTAAAAAATTAAAATTAAGATAATTTTTAAATTAAAAAAAAAAACTCAAAACAATTTCAAAATGCAACTGAAAATTCTTTTCAAAACTTATAACCAAACAAATTTTCTCTTCTGAAAACTCATTTAAAAAACTTTTCTTTCAAAACACAACTTAAAACTCAAATCTCATTTCAAAAACTAAATCAAACTGAACCATAATTTTCTTACAATGTGTAGTTTTTTAGGGTTACATGTTACATTTCTCCAGCGGTATGTTCTAAGACAAATTAAGTTGACTATTTATTTTATTTTATTTTATTTTTATTTTCAAGTGGAACTATATTTGAGGCAAATTATATTTTGCATCTTTATGTTGATCATTTTCTCACTTTGGTCCTTGAACAATATTTTGAGTGTATCTATAAAAAAATAGAGTAAAAAAATAATTTTTTAAAAGGTTAGATTACATTAATATTCTTTAAGATTTAGAGAAAATATAATAAGTTTCATAATTTTAACATAATTATATGGACTTGCCTTTCTAGTAAGGCTAAAAAGACCATAATGAAGATAGTGTAAAAACATAAAAATAAATAATGTAAAATATATATTGATTAATAAGATAAGATAAATAAGGTAAAATAACTAATGCAAATGTTATTTGAGTGTAAAAAATTAATGTCAAATTTCTATGGGAGATTTATTACAAAATTATTTTTAAGTACTTGTATCCCAATTAGTCCATAAGATATTATTGTATTTCAATAAGTCCTATTATTTGAACAATTGATCTACCAAATCCTAATTATCATATTTAAAGTATTTTAAAGACATTTCTACTCTTACAAATATTTTTTGAACGGTTAGTAATTTAGTGATGTAAACATTCATATTTTACAATGTGAATGTTCACATTGACAGTGTGAATATTCATATTGAGATGTTAATATTCACATTGACGGTGTGAACATTCACATTGACGGTGTGAACATTCACATCACAAAACATTCATACTGTAAATGTGAATATTATTAAGGATATTTTGATAATTATGTCACCCATAAGACTTATTGGAATATAATAAAATAATATGAATTAAATGAAATATAAGTAGGTAAAAAAAAATTTACAAAAAAATATCCCAATTTTTTTAAAGTAATTATAAATTATTAATAAAAAGTAGGTGTGAATTAAAATTGTAAAAAACTAAGGAGTTCTAAGATAGTTAGATAGCCTTTTGGCAAGTCTCTCTTAAGGAGAAGATAGTGGATTCCACTCTTGGGAGTGGAATAGAAAGACAAGACTTTCTTACAAGTTACATGAGTGTGAGTTTTAATTCCTCCAAGATACTAATCTAACAATTAACTATTGACTTTTACCGAGAAAAAAAAAATAATAAGTATAATATAATCGTGTTAAATTTATGGAACTTACTACATGTTCTCTAAATCTTATAAAAGATTAATGTAATTTATCCTTTTATAAAATAATCATAAAAAATTTGAAATAAATATTAGATATTTATGGTAATATTATCATTGAATGAAAAATTTAACATTATAAAAGTAGTCCCACATGATTATAATGTTACTTTTGCATTTAATATTTGTCAATGGAGTGAGAGATTATAGTAGAGAGAAGTCTTGCAAGAAATTCTAAAAACAACACCATGAAATTCACTCATAATGACAAAACACTAATAATGACAAAACAGAAGATTATGTTACAAGTGTTTGGCTACAAAATTTTCCACCGCATTTAAAAGATTACATTATCCTCATTTAGATTTATAATCTTATTATAAATTATCTCATAAATTATTGATATCACATTTTAAATTTTTTTAAATGATCATTTTATTCTTTTTTTCTTACAATTTCTTTTTCTTATCATTATGATTGAGAGGGTGATTTATACTCCGGCGTTGGGCCGAGGTATAAACCGAACAGGTTTTAACCAATGTTGCACCATCTCTTCAATTTTGGAGTTTGTTGTGTTAATTTATGCTCTGAAAAAGATTAGTACTACACCTCTCTTCCTTCCATATTTACTGCGTTAGCCCGTCTTTTGTACCTCTCGAAATCTGGGACCAAGCTTCCAATTCAACTTTGGAATGAAATTTGGATGTGTTCTTGTTCCCCTATTTTTCTGTCCCGGGCGGGTTCTATCGTGGTAAAACAGGCACTCCAGAGACTCCAAGGATGAGCTGGATACATATGTTGTGAAAACTTCAATTGCTTGATGGTTCATGATAAATTTATCACCAAAAACAAACAAAAGAACGTTGAAAAACCAGAGATTCTGTAAAAGTAATTTATGTCTTTATTTCTATCATTGTTTTATGAGACTGGTGATGACTATATTGCTTCTCTGAGCTTTGCTTTTTATATGCCAAATATGGAGCAATTTTGGGGTAAATCTGTGGTGATTGAGGGACATTTTGATGTGTTTATCACAAATATATTTGGTAAGTGAGATTTGTTGACATAGAAATGATCATTTTATGCATGTATAGTACTTTAGGTGAATCTTCGTCCTGTGATTTCTCTTGAACTTGGCATGTTTAAATGTTCAACTGGTTCCGCTTGACCATGAAACACAATGCACATTTGTTTTTGTTTTTTGTTTTTTGTTTTTTGTTTTTTGTTTTTTTATTCTCGAAAACAGAAAAATATGAATATTGATGTGGAATACTTGTTCGAAAATCAGATATGGAAAACTACTCTCAGGAAAAAAAATTATTTTTTGAAAACTCCCTCTTTTTAGGATACTCTTTTAAATTGTTTTTATGAATTTTCAAATACTGTTTTTGAAAAAAAATAAAAGTTATGTAGTGTGTTTGGTTTGAGCTTTCTGAATTAAGTTTTTTGAAAACTGATTTTTTTGATTTTCGTGTTTTTTTGTTTTTAGTGAATATTTTTTAAATTTTAAACATTTTTTTATATTTTTTTAGATGCACCTTATTTAGATGTATCTAAAAAGTAAAAAAATTTATAAAAAAATATTTTTAAAAATTAATAAATATATAAAAATACAAAAAATGTATTGAATTCTAATATATATTTTTTATATTTTTGGTATTTAATGAATTTTTAAAAGGTTTCTTTCACAAATTTTTTACTTTTTAAGTATATTTATGTTAAGTATGTCTAAAAAGTAAAAAAAATTACTTAAAATATTAAAAAATTTAGTAAAAATAAAAGAACAAGAAAAGTAAGAAAATAAAACTTTTTAATTTTTTTTTTTAAAAAACTCTAACCATTCTAATTTGAGAAGTTTAATACAGCCACACGCCTCCCTCTATATTTATATTTTTTTTATTCCATTTTACTGGAAATTCATTTAAAACTCTAATATCATAATGGGAAATGCCTGAGGCCTCGAATCTGACGCCTCGAATTTGCCTCGAATCTTTTTTTTTTTTTTTTTTTTTTAATTTAAAACCTTTTTTTTGGTTTTTTTTTTTTTTTTTTTTTTTCAAGGTTATTTGATGTCAATCTTCTGTTGGAAATTCAGTGCTTATGAGATAAATTTACAAGTGAGTTGGGTTATACCGATTGAATGATAAAATTGATTGATAAATTATTTTATTTTATTTTATTTATTGGGGTGTGTTATTTATTTTTATTTTTTTTAAAGGTGATGTAGGGGTGTGCCAAAAAATTAGACATCCCGCACCAACTCATCATACAAAATTATATGAAATTAATAAATTTTAACTAGCAGTATCAATCAATTAGGTTGGACTGGTTGAGTGATAAAATTGACTGATCCAAAATTGACTGATCAATTTATTAATTTTATATATTTTTATACGATGAACTGATACGAAATATTTAATTTTTTTAGTATATCCCTACATATAACCACCCTAAAAAAATAAAATAAACAAAAAAAATAATATACAAAGTCAAAAAAAGAAAAAAAAAAAGGTATGAATGATTTTTTGGGTGTAAATAGAATCACCCTGAAACAGGGCAAAGCTTGTTAGGAACTTGCTTTGCCTATCACAGTCCATTAGGTTTTGACTAGTAACAGTTGGTGTGGGTTTGGCTAAGGTTGAGAGATTTTTGATCTCTCGGGACTCTTAGGGTCCGTTTGGAAAGAGCTATTCTAGATTTTTTTGATTATTTTAGTCATAAAGATAAAATAAGTTATTTTAGTCGTAAAAAATAAAATATCATATTCAATCCATAATCATTACATTATTCTCTTAGAAAAAAAGCCAAATAAGTCAAAAAGATAAAAAATCGTTCTCAAGCTAAGCTTTTTAGCCCAGGATAAAATAGTTAAAAAAGTCAAAAAGTTAAAAAAACAACCCACTTCCCAAACAAACCCTCAAAAATTTATTTTGCAAACTTTTTCCCAGACTTTGCTTGGAAAGTTAAAAGTCAGGTTTTTTTTTAGTTATTTTAGTCAAAAAAAAGTAAAATAAACTTTTAGTCTAATAAGATAAAACATCACAATTAATTTATATTCATTATATTCTTTTCCTCACAAAAAAATTTAAAAAATCAAAAATTCTTCTCAAACCAAACTTTTTAATCCCAAACTAAAATAACCAAAAAAAAAAAAAAAATCAAAAAATCCAAAAAAGCCAGTCCACCTCCCAAACGAACCAAGAGTGTGAAATGTGAACTACCTCACAGTTTGGCTGCAGATGCTCTAGAAAATCTCTCTCTCTAGCTGAAAAAGAGGACAAAGCCCATGTACTGTGCATGTTTACTTTATCATGGTGTGCAAAGATCAAATAAGTTTTCTCTATCGTGGGTCGAGTCTTGTTTCTCTGTCATACATATATATATATACATGTGTATGTATTATATTTCTATTTTTATTATTTTTTTAAAATATTTTTGTTCTTATTGAAATTCTGGGTTCTGAAATGCAGGTAGAGTTGAATGCTGTGTAGTGGCTAGTAAATGAGATTTAATTGGAAGCAAATCATTTTCATAGATTGTTAGTTGCTCCCTTTCTGGTTAGTTTCCACTTCTTTATATGTCTCTCTTTCTTTCTTACTGTGAATGCTTTTGAATTTGGTCTGTGGTTTCTATTCGTATGTTTTTACTTGTTAGGGTTTCTTTTTTGTTTTAAATTTTTTTTTTAAAACTTTCTGATTCAATTGTATTATGCTATTTTGTTCTGCTTTTCTGTTTATTTGGTTGAAATTTATGTTCCATTATATTTTGAGATTTTTTATTTTGATTTTTATTATTTGTGCTATGGAAATTGCATCATGTAGCAGGTAAGACTCGAATCGAGGACACCCAGTATATTAGGGGATTAGATAATGTTAATTTTCCTAAGGTATTTAAATGAAGAATTTGTTATTTGGTGCTAGAATTTGTTATTTGTGACCTTTTATTTGGTTGAAATTTATGTTCCATTTTATTTTGAGATTTTTTATTTTGATTTTTTATTATTTGTGCTATGGAAATTGCATCATGTAGCAGGTAAGACTCGAATCGAGGACACCCAGTATATTAGGGGATTAGATAATGTTAATTTTCCTAAGGTATTTAAATGAAGAATTTGTTATTTGGTGCTAGAATTTGTTATTTGTGACCTCAACCAAAGGCAATTGCTATCTGTCCCCAGCGCTTGGGTTTGAATATTATGGGAATCCAGTGATACCTCTCCTGCACACCTTAAGCACTAATTATGATTTTTTTTTTAAAAAAAATTGATGGTAGGAAAAAAAATATTGGTTTCTGTGGATTTTTTGCTTTTTGTTTTATTGTGTCAATTAATTGGGGTAAAATTGCTGTTATGGAAATTGACAATCCTAAATATTTGCTTTTAAAAAAAAAGGGTAAATTAGGGTTTTCAAATTATTGCCATATACCGAATGATGATTTTGTTCTTTTAGTTGTGGGTAAGGCAGTTTCTTTGAATCAAAAGTGATTAAGCATTAATATTTGTAATTATTTTGGAATGATAATCTCGAATGCTACCACAATATACGGTCCTTCTGGTTTGGTCTTTGTAATATTTGCTATAGAAAAGCAGTATGATGTAGTCTGTCTTGAATCGATTTGAATGGTATATTTTCTGAAAATCTGACAAGCAATGTGAGCGACTATGAGAACAGGTCTTAGGCTTCCAAAGAAGGCGTGTATTAAATTGTTAAGTATAATCTGTTGTAAGGCAAGATTAGTTGGACTGAATTTAAAATCTTGTTTCTTTAGGAGATTTTGGAGGTAGTCACATTTGTTTAGAGATTAGTAACCTTTTAAAACATAATTCTTCCAATGGCAAAGGTGAAGGAAAAAAATCTCTTTATTGTGGAGACAACTGCTTCTTGTATAATACTTGTCTAAATGCCACCTTCAATGTTATGTAATGCACAACACTGACAACAGAAATAATTTAATCGTCATACACTTGAAAAAATAAATGAGAAATTTCATATGACCAGTTCCTCAGTGCTGCCGTTTTGAAGCTCCAAAGAAGCCCTGAACTCTGTTTTGATTGTTGGTTAATTTGGGATAAGTAGGCATAGTGTGTGTTAAAAACATGGATATGGATGAGAATTCCCATGAGGGTAGTTATCACGCAAGAGATGATTATCCGACTAAGAGAGAGAGAGAGAGTTCAATTCTATGTGACCTCCACGGTTACAACAACCATGTATTTATAGCTTTTGTTGTGTCCTTTGGTGTTTGAATTTTGAATCTCATTCCATCCTCCTAGAGAATCCATCTCCTGCTGGAAGGTTTCTCACCCAAGCATTAGATATGGTGCAAGAGGTTTCACCATCGTTATGGTTTGATCACCTCGTGATCCATTAGTATGGGATGAGGATTATTTGGGGGGTTGTATGCCAGCATCTATCATGCTCGAGTATAAATGCGGGTAGTGTTATTTGGCATTTGTGCAAAAAAATAATTGCAAATTCATGGAAGTACAATACTCATTTGTGCAATCTTGTGCATAAATCACTTGTACTTTCATGAGCTTGCAATTATTTTCTAACTTTTCACTTTTTTAATATTCCCTCCATTTTCATGGTACAAAGGTCACTTTAGTACTTTGAGTTGCTAAGTGCCTACCATGTTGTCTTTGCTTTCACCGACTAGTTTCTGGCCGAGCCTACCACTCTCAAAATTTACTTACAACAATTTTCACATAATGGAAGCCCCTTAGTAGCAGGAATCGTCGGAAGGGGAGACAATTCTCATCTAGAATCACGATTCAGCGATTCATAGCAAGCTTTGTGATAGAATCGCATCTCCATTTAGATAGAATCGCAGATTTAACTGGGTGGGAGTGATGGTGACCTACGTTACACGTCTTTGGATTTCCGGAGGTACCCATGTCGACACGACACGACACGACAGGGGTACAGGTGCGGGATACAGCTCTTAACAAACGAATACGGCAAAAGAAATGAAAGAGAAGAGAGCAAGAGAGAACCTGGTTGCCGTTCGCTGTTCGATCTGGTCGCCGACTTCAATTCCACTGGTCGTTGGCTTCAACGGCTTCAGCTTCGGATTTGGCTTCGGCTTCGACTTCGACTTCGACATTGATCTTCTTCACGCGATGCTTGATCTCCTTCTCTGTCTTCTCTCTCTCTCGATCTATCTTCCTCTCCTCTCGATCTCCTTCTTCTTCTACTCTCTCTCTCTCGACTGTCTTCTTTTCTCTCTGTTCTGTTTCTGTTCTCTATCCTCTTTCTCTTCTTATATATTATATAATATAAATTACATTAATATAATGATATATAATATTGTTCATATTATAGAATATTATTGTATAATATAACATTGTATAATATTATTCATATTATATAATATTATTGTATAATATAATATATCATAAATAATATAATTTTTATGCCTAAAATAAAAATAATTTATTTTTAGCATATATAATATAATTTATTTTATGCCTAAAATTATAACATATACATATGTGTATGTCAATTCATTTATTAAGAAAAATATGTACATGTATGTCAATTAAAAATAAAAAACAAAATTATATAGATAAATTTAAAATATAATTAATAAAAATAATACATAAGCCTTCCTAATCTACGACTCCTCTAAGTGGCCACGTTCCCCCGCTCCCACTTCGTGCAACTAAGGGAAGCCCTACATTTTGTCCGTAGATGTAGGCATTAGCATGTCGAACCTTTGACTGCTTCTTTTTCATGCTGAGTTTGTTCTTTATCTTTTATGCTGCCATTGATCTTGGAATCACATCTTCATTATTCACCACTTGTCATTCTTTGATGCTCTAAAGAAGATGGACCTTTCTCCAAAAGTTAGTTATGGTAGAGACATTTTAGACTTTTCTTATTATCTTTTTCTTTCCCATTTTCCCCTCTCAAGGCCACATTCTGTTGAATTATGGAGGTTACAACCTTTATTTTTGGTGGAGGGTTTGTTTATTTTGTGAGATTCAAAACATTGGGATAATTGTGAACTCTAAATGATGATTTTTATTTATTTATTTATGTCTAGAACAATAAGTGCTATCTACTCCCAGTGCCATGGCATGGGTTTGAGCTAGCCACGGGAATCAATCTCTCCACCAAAAAGGTGGGGGAAATGCAGCCTACCTAGTACCTACTATCTCTCCGAGACTCTGCTGTAAGCAAGAGCTTTGTGCACTGGGTAGGACCTAAAATATATTTAAGACTTTCTTGTGTGGTCACTAACCATAAAATTGGTATCCAAACCACCACTATTTATGCCGCTTACAACACAACAGTTTTCTGTGTCGAAGATTACATCATACTCCGTTCTTGTTTTATCATTATTCTTCAAAGTTATTTACTCATTAACATAAACCAATATTATGCAGGTTTAAGGAAGTTGATTTTCAGTCTTTGAGCAGCAAAAAACCAACGCTAGCGAGAAGCTGATCTCGATCTCAGCTCCAAACATCTTTTCACTCCTTTACTTGCTCTTTGGAGACAGGATTTAGACAGATTGGTTTTTAAGATGGTCTAAATTCCAAATCACAACACGTAATCAACTAAAAGACTCGAGTAGTACTTCCTATATTGATTGATAATGGAGGTTAAAGAGGCAGAGAGGATAGTTATAGCTAAACCGGTTCCTTCAAAGCCTACTTGTTCCAATTTTGGGTCCTTCTCAGATCTCCTCGCTGGTGCCATTAATTCCTCGCCCACTAAGGCACGTCCTGAAACTGCAGTCACTGCAATTAGACCAAAGACTGTAAGGTTTAAGCCAGCAACAACCCGTGCTCCTGTTGCCGTGGTTTCTTCCCAGGTAATTGTCCATTTTTTTTTTCCTCTCCCCCTATAGGCTTTGTCATCTGATAGTTCACATACTTCTCTTTCGAATGTTGGTTTTTGATCTTTGTACTGTTCAACAATTTTAGGCCGAGATATCTGGAGTTGCAATGTGTTGTCCATCCGATAAGGTGGATAAGGTTTTGAATTCTGACAGCAAATCAACTGTGTTATATAAACCCTTAGCAAAGGTCGTATCAAAGACGACTTTTTCTATGTTGGCAAATCTGGTTAGTATCCATATCTAGTGTTTTGTTGATTAAAAAACACATTCTGTTTTTTCTTGATTTTTCTTGATACCAATTGATCTATCAGATTTTCCATGTCCCAAACCAACATGCAAATGCATAAAATACAAACTTGAACTTGCTATATATGCTTAAATCTATGGTCTAAATATCAAAATTATTGGGTTAGCGTGTGTGGATCCTGATAAATACTGGGCACCAACCACTTGATTCCGAATTTAGAGTAAGGATATTTTGATAATTCCACACCTGTGATTGGTGGCCAGCTATGTCTATATCCCACTTGTAACTGTTTTTGATCGAGTGAAACCGCAGCAACTGTGGACATTACCCTAGTTTTTGCTTAAATCTCGTGTTTTGTGTGTGTGTGATTTATAATTCTTGTGCTCACTGATCCTGCTTACATGTTACGAAATTCCTAACAAAAACATGTGTGAAAATGTTTTATTTTTGTCCAGGGAAACTCCAATATTAGTCATCAACAAGCTCTGGCTCAAGTTGAGGCCCGTGTTCAAACTCCAAATCCATTCAAGTCCAATTTCAGATCTGACCTTAGCTTGACCTTTCAGCCGAATTTCTCATCACAAGCAGAAAGAGAGAAGACGACTGAGCCTTCGAATATAGCATTAGAAAACACAGAAGGCGGTCAGAAATCTTTGCCACCAACTAGCAGTGTGGATCGGCCTTCTTATGATGGATATAATTGGAGGAAATATGGGCAAAAGCAAGTCAAAGGAAGTGAGTATCCGCGAAGTTACTATAAGTGCACGCACCCAAATTGCCAAGTAAAAAAGAAGGTAGAGAGATCATTAGATGGCCAGATAGCGGAAATTGTCTACAAGGGCGAGCACAACCATTCAAAGCCTCAGCCGCTTAAGCGCAATGCATCTGGGGGACAAGGGCAAGGATTTGTATCGGATGGGATTGTTCAAGAGACAAACAATGCCCCGTCATGGAGTAACAAACTCAATGAGAGAATTGAAGGTTTTGAAGGTAGAATAGAAAACCAGAACGAAGTTGGATTATCGACCCATTCGACTTATTCAGGCAAAGCGCCTCCATCTTATGATCATGTTGGTGGTAGAGCGGTCAATACTGGTCTCGGGACTCCTGAGCATTCTTGTGGGCTTAGTGGGGATTGTGAGGATGGAAGCAAGGGTTTGGAAGCAGAAGATGATGAACCGAAAAGTAAAAGAAGGTAAGAGTTTAGCTTAACTTGAAAATGAAGCAAGTATAGATTCACCATATTTCATATTAATTCAAACAAGACATAGCATAGGTTGGTGCTGATTTGTGCCATCTCTCCTGCAGGAAAAATGAGAATGAACTGGGCATGTCAGGGGAAGGAGTACAAGATCCACCTGCTGTGGTTCAGAATTCCCCGGATCCTGAGATTATAGGAGATGGCTTTCGCTGGAGAAAATATGGGCAAAAAGTTGTGAAGGGAAATCCATATCCCAGGTTGGTAATTCTTATTTTTTTTTTGGATAAATAAGGATTGTGTTGAATTCAAAGTTGCATGAAACGGGAGTGGGGGCGAGGCATGAGTGGGAGCAGGATTGAGGTTCCGATAGGAGTTTCCTGCTTCTAAGATTGAATTGTATTACTAGAACAAAAAAGCACTTCCAAAGGCGTAGACAATCCCAAAAAGTTAAAAAAGCTCAACAGAAAAATTGAGCTCAGCTATAAATTCTACAAGAAGAGGGGATTCACCGAAGTTTGATGTTGAATGATACCTCTTAAAATTCTCTTTAAAAGATGCTTTTACACCAATCAAATATATTCACAATTTTACGATTTAAGTAACATGATAGTTCTTGTCCACATTTCACCTTAAACTCGTGGAAGTACGTAATTTATTGGTTGTTTGCTTCTAATTCTTCTTCCCACTGAATATTCAAGATTTTACCGTATCTAAATTTTCATAGAATTCCATTATCACTAATAAGATGAGTTATCTATGATTCATGGAAACAACACGAATAATTTGCAGTTCTTGGAGTAATTTTAGGTTATAACTAACCTATGAAGCATGAATACAGGTGCAAGTACTGGTACGATATGAGTATATCGATACGGTAAAATTAAAAAAAAATAGGGTATTGGTACGGCTTGGGCTTGTTAAAAAAATATTTATTTTTAATTTAGAGTAATGTAAAAATTAATTAAATGGTTTAATTTGTTAAGATTCAACCTATAATTAACATTTAATGTCAAAAGTAAAGGTATAAATCAAAATTAAATGTCAATATATTAAATAACTTACAAACCATAGTTTAATTTTAAACTAATGTTAAGCATAAAACAAAAAATAAAAAAGAAGTCTAGTGAAAGGAGTTTTATTTCTATAGTGGAAGAAAATATTGTTTCAACTGAGGTACGGTACGACATGGGGTATGTATTAGGTGTGTCTAGGTACGCTAAAAATTAAGAAGAAAAATCCCGGATACGTGTTTCGTGTACTCGGTACGTATGCAGAAATACCATACGAGGTACCATACGCCGATAAATACCCAATATGAGTGCAACATATTTTTCAAAGTACTCATACTTCATAGTAACTAACCTACCAGGCTTTCTTGAATTTTTCATGAGATACAGGCATTGGAAAATATATTAACTCTTTATATTCACAAAAGTTGTTAACTAAGTTGGCATGAAATAGTTCTCAAATATTTTTGGCACCTGCAAAGTTGAAGGGAACGTAAAATGAGGTGGGTGTTATTTTGTGACCTCAACGGGAGCTAAATAATAAATTTTTAAAAAAAATAAATACCAGGTTTATGTACTTTGCCTTATTCATTGTGTTTAGTTTTAATTTTCTGAATTTAATTATTTGAAAATTAAGTTTTTTTTGTTTTTGTTTTTCGTGTTATTTTGTTTTTAGTGAATATTTTTAAAATTGTAAGCAATTTTTTTAGTTTTTTAGATGCATTTTACTTAGATGTATCTAAAAATAAAATATTTGTAAAAAAATTAATAAATACACAAGAATACGAAAAATGTATTGAATTTTTGTTCTTTTTGTTTTTTTGGTATTTAGTAAATTTTTTAAAGATTTTTTTACAAATATTATACTTTTTATGTGTATTTATGTTAAGTGTGTCAAAAAATTAAAAAAAAATTGCTTAAAATATTAAAAAAAATCAATGAAAACAAAAAAATACGGAAAACAAAATGTTTCAATTTTCAGAAAAGTGAATTCAGAAAACTCAAACTAAACAAGCTGATTAGTTTTGTGAATTCTGGTATTATTTTTGGGTGGATAATTCTGGTGTTATTATTACTATTATTTTTCTTGATAGGAATTACAGCAGAGAGCTGAAATGAGAAAATTATTTCTGTTTCTCTCTAGATAATGTACTCTCTCTCTCTCCCTCACCGAGGCTTAACTGGTCATGCAGAAGTTACTATAGATGCACCAATCCCAAGTGCAACGTGCGCAAGCACGTTGAAAGAGCATCAGATGACCCAACAGCATTTGTGACAACATACGAGGGAAAGCATAACCATGACATGCCCGTCAAGACCATGAATCCAGCTTCTTCTGAACCAGATTCACAGGCTGCAACTTCAAAGGGCAAACCGTGATGATTGGTACTGTTGAAGGACGCGATACCAACCCAACAATTCATGCTTTCTGTGATTTTTTTTTTTTGTTTTTTTGAATTATCAAATTGGCTATTTTGTTACCTTTACACTTACCGTGTGTTCTTTAGCTTATGTATACATTTTTCATCCCGTCTACATTGTTTTCCATTTTGCTAGACATTTAGACTGCTTTTGGATATTGGATTGTCAAAGGAAAAGAAAAGGGAGAGGAAAATACAAACACACCATGTTCATGAGCATATGCATAAGGTTTGTTTATATGTAGACTAATGAGCCAATGAGTATTATGTGTTATAGGTGCTTTTGCCATGTGAATATGCAACTGCTCCTTTGGAAACAACTACCAATAATTGGTGTGAGGCCTGTAAACCCTCTATTTATGTGTGTGTATTTGGGTATAAAGATGGGTGCGTTATTATCTATGTTCAACAACTGAACATGCATGTATAAGGTGGGAACATTAACATGGAATAGATAATAGTTGCTTTTAAAGATTTGTCTCCAAATTCTTGTCTTTCTATTTCAATGCATTTATAATTAGGGCAAATTACATATACACCCCTCGAGGTTTGGCTAAATTACAGATGCCCCCCTGAGGTTTGAGAAATTACGAATTCCCCCTTGAATGCTATATTTGCATAAGAAATTAGGGGGTAATTTGTTATGAAATATAAACCTCAGGGGGCAAATTGTTATAAAAATACAAACCTCAGGGGGCGGGATGTAATTTCCGAAACCTCAGGGGGTATCTGTAATTTAGCCAAACCTCGAGGGGTGTATATGTAATTTGCCCTTATAATTATTAATCATGTGAGAATCTTGAGATATAATCTAATGATTAAAATTATATTGAGACGAAGGAAAAAGTTTAGGCCTAGCCTGAAAAGGTAGAGTTTTTCTTATGGTAAGGTTTAAACTATTGACCTTTGATTATGTTAGATTGGTTAATGTTGCCCTTTTTTATAGTTTACTGGTACTCTTTTTTTCTTTGCGTTTACATATCTACTTCTACATTGAACATGAGTTATAGTTGGCCTGTGAAAATTATTCCCAAGCTTGCATGCAGGTCATAACTTTAAGCCTATGCTTTACTCAATAGACTTAGCCTAGATGAGCTTGCAGGTCAAGTTGACGGACTATCTCTCATGGACCAACAGGTGAGCCCAATTGGTTGACCCACGAGCTTGGCTCAACGGACAAAGATTAGGCTTATATTTTTTAAATTTTTTGTGCTTCATTTTCCCCTATTATTCATATTCTTTGTCCAACTTGTGAGTTAGAACGACAATCTGCCTCTCATGGGCCAATGAATAGATTGGGTGTTCAAATAAGTCAAGACCCCATAAAAAAAAAAAAAAGAAGATAAATTACAAATATATTTCTTGAGATTTGTTTAAAATATGAATTGTCCTCTGTGGTTTGAAAAATACCTCATTGTTAGAATTTTTTATTTAACAGAATTAATTAAAAAAGTAAAATTTCTATCTGTTCACCTATACAATAATAAAATTATTTGAATTATTAATTGAAATAAAATTTTAACATTATTAAAAATTGTTAATTAACTTGATGATTTATTAATAAAAAGACCTATTTATTATGAAATTAGAAATCTTAGGGGATATAATGTAATTTCTAGAGCTATAGGAGTAATTTGTAATTTAAGTAAATCTTAGGGAGTGTGTTTGTAATTTGTCCAAAAAAAAAAAATTCTAAGTCAAGACCTAACCCAAGCTTCATTTGGGCCAAGCCAACACGGGGTACAAGTTTGGGTTGGTTTTGTTTTTTAAATCATGTCAAAATGGGCATTTATGGCAAATAAAATGCTTTTAGAAATTAGAAAAAAGAGTACTAGGATAGAACACAAGTTGGTTGAATGGAAAAAATTATTTCGTGTCTAGGGCAACACGTGGTCATACTTCTAAATAATTACAAATTATTATATTTTTTTGTTATTTTTCAATCATTCATCATAAATTATGAATTTTATTCTCTTCACCAATTATAATACACTTGGGACACTAATGTAATCGTGCTCCAAACCTAGGGCTACAAATGAACAGAATAATTTATAAACAAGCTCGGCTCAGTAAGAGCTCGTTCGAACTCGATTCGTTAAATTTTTATTACGTTCGAACTCGAGCTCAAACTTGTTAAAATTTTAATAAATAAATCCAAATATTCTAAAGTTCGACTCGTTAGCTGTTCGTTTAACATTTATTTAAATAATAGAATAAATATATTATTATATATTAAATAATGTAAACATATGTATAAAAAATAGGATAAATATGTTATTTATATATTCAAATAATATAAATAATAGCTAACTATAGATAATACATTAATGGCTAATAAAGACAATATGATAAATTAACTAGTAAGATAGAATGTCACATCGAAACCATAATTATTATATTTTTTCTCTCACAATTATCAAATCAACTACCCAAAAAAAAAAAAAAAAAATTTTCAAAAACAAATTTTTTAGTCCTCGAATCAAGCCTGAACCAACTCGATTTAAGCTCGGTTTGTTAAATTTTCATTAAGTTCAAACTCAAACTCAAGCCCATTAAAATTTTAATAAATGAACTTAAACATATCAAAATTTGACTCAATTTAAGCCAGCTCATTTACAACTCTACCCAAAACAACCAAGTAACTTCTCGTTCAGACCAAATCATTTGCCAGCTCAATTTCTCATTCATGTCCAATCTTTGATCATTTTCCCTATTAAGCATGCCCTGATGACATGACCTTTGTAAGTTAGCGAAATGTGATATATATAGTACTATTATTGAAGCATACAATGAACAAAATGGGGCCTATTTTATGTGTGCCCAATAAAAATATTATAGAAGGTAGGAAAAAACCAACAAAAATTATGAAACAGATAAAGAGAAAAAAGATATAAGCAAAAATAAAATAGTTTTAATGGCCAACCTTTTGCATAATTTGTGCTGAGAACAATGACCAACCCTAGTGTTATGCTTCCCCACATTGATATTAACAAATGCTTACTTTATTGATAATAAAATCCTTTTTATTCAAGACCTTGTGTATGTTGGCCACAGCTTGAGAAGGGAGATTATATGTGTATTATATATATATATCAATTGGTACAAGTAGATTTTAAATAACTGACTACCAAAAAAAATCTTTAATGATTGATTTTTTTTGGGAGGGGTCATAGGACATTGAATTTCATCGAGGAATCCAAAATAGGTCTTGAGCCCAACAAAAGTGTTCATTGAGAGCACAAAAGAATTAATATATATATATATATATATATATGTAAATTTCAACCAAACTTGATTCTTTTTTATGAAAGAAAGATTCACATTATGAGAGGTAAATCTGATCTATCCATAAGTTATGTCAGCAAAGTGATGCTGAGCTGTTTAGACAAGTCACCTTATTAACTAGAATAACAAACTGGATAGCAGCACAAAAACATTCTCCAATGTCATCCTTTCAGTGTAATAAGTTTTTCCCCACACATACATCAACTAGCAAGTTTAGCATCAATATGCTCCTTAATGCTGTGTTTGGTTGAGGGATTTGAAGAGGGATTTGGAAAGGGAAATAGAAAAGGTAGGTGAAATGTGAATAAAATATGACTATATTTCACCTAATTTCATATACTTTTTCCCCTTCCTTTTCTAAATCCCTCTCTAAATTCTCCAACCAAAACACAGCGTAAATAAGCATCTATTGAATTGTTAGTTACAATTGTTAATAACTAAAGTTTCTCAGAATCTGATTACCCCCTTTGAAAGTTAGGTACTTGGACTTGAACCAATGCCTCGTTTGAAAATAAATTATTTTAATAATTTTTTGACTTTTTATTAATAGATATGTCAAAAAATAAAGATAATGATTTGATAATTTTTAATAATTTTTTTAATTTTTTGACTAAAATATGTAGTTGACTAAGGGAGACCTACGCCTCATTATAACATTTGCAGTCAACTTGCCTTTTGTTCCCCCTAAACTAATAGTGGATTCTTTGAAAAACGAGTTTGCTATTCTATTTTAGAAAGGATTAGGCCTTCTTAACCGTTACATTGGAATGATTCAAATTGTTCATTTTTGTAAAAAAATTTGTATATCATTTATAAAAAAAAATAAAATTAAGTCTATTTGATAATCGTAATATTTTTATTTTATTATATTTATCTCGAAAAAATGTCCAAGAAATCTGTTTTTGAAAATAAACTATCTATTTTTTAGAGACAAATTTGATAAAATAAAAATATTATAATTATTAGATTGACTTAATTTTTTTAAGAATAATATACAAAGAAATTTTATAAAATAAATTATTCAGATTATCGAAACAGAACTTGTGTAGTGAGCCTCATAGGCCTTAACATGACAATAAAATTTAGATTTTCAATTTGAGGAAATTTCTAACCTTTTAAAAAATGCTTCAACAACTCGTCAAAGGTAGCTATCGATTGTAGCATTTGCAAACACAAAGTATACTAATTTATTTTTATTTATTTATATTTTTATTTTTTGTTGCTATTTTTACATATCTCTAGCATTTTTTTTTATATTCCCTCCTCTCTTAAAGCAATTTCAAACATATCTTTTATTTTTTACTAACTAAAATATGAAAATGATATATTCCTAATTCATTTTCTAACTATATACTCCAATGTTATTTATTTTATTTTATCTATCTATCCACAAAAATTGTTTAAAGAGCCTCTCAAAACTCTCAATCACCTATGGCTATTCAAGACGAGCATAACAAGAGACCTGATTTAAGAGTGGGAAAGCTTGTCAGCTAAAGGGTTTTACGTTGGTTCACAATTGAGCAACAGTGTTTGGGTCAATTGTGGACAACACTGAGACGGGATGCCTTGATTGACATGTACCTTAGTTGGGTGACTTGCTTGAGAGTGAGTTTGGTGCCATGAAACGATATGTCCTATATGGGACGAAATTGTAGACGTCTAGTCCACTAGTGTCATGGATGTCGAAGCTTCCTTGTGGGAGTTGTTCTTAGTAAATATACCATTGGACTTTCATTTGACAAGAAGAGTAAAAATCCTCGATGGTCGAAGAGAGTTTAGATGGACTTAACACTTGGTGGAGTTTAAGCACAAAATAAATTCCGTTACCTCTAAAAAGCAGGCGCGTGACAATAAATGTAATTAGTCTTAAAAAAATTTATTTAAATAATTTTGTAATAATTAATCCATTAAAATGAGTAAAATAGGATGATACTAATTATAATAATCAACAAATCTTTTTTAAAAATTCTTTAGAGATGTTCTAACTTCTCAGTACTATCAGTCGCAATCTTGATGATTCTAAATGTATTGTGGGTGTTTTGGAAAGTTGGTAAAAAATTGATTTTTTGACTTTTTTAACTTATTTTATCTTTCTGTGGATAAGTTATGTGAGAGATGATGTGACTTAAAATTGATAAAAAGCTGAAAGCTGACTTTTTACCAGCTTCCCAAAAGAGCATATATATT